ATTTTTTTTAAAGTATGACTTTTGCCCCCATTTTAAAGTACAGTATATCTATAGACTTCAGCCTCATAAAGAGTAGGGCGGAGGAACGTCAGAACAAACCTATCAACCACTTTATTCGTAGCTAAATAGTGGTTAAAAACAAAAAATATGGATTTTGAATGCTTTTTAGTGTCCTATTGACCACTAATGTGGGCAAAAGTCATACTTTAAAAAAAATATATAAAAATATATTTGAGGCATTTTAACACAATATTATATAAAATATTTGATCAAAATAAAAAAATATAACTTATTCCACTATTAATCATTTAAAAATAACATAACACTAATATAATAAGTTTTTATACATTTCTATCTTAATAATTAAATATAAAGTATTATATTTTTAAACAATATGTCAAGACAGTATATTAAGGATTTTACCAAAACTATTTTTAAAATAAATTTTCCTGAATTTTTCAATGTACAGGAATTGCCCTCCCTGTATTCTGTGAAAATTCATTAATTCCGGTATTATACACAAAATTCCTGTATGTTTGGCAACACTAGTGATCACACTATGTGTGATTATATATAATTATTAGGGCTGAAACTTGATGATTCATTTAATATACAGACTGACCAAAATTATGAATTAGTCAATGAGTGATAAAACATTTAATGCAAAACACATATAAAATAATTGCGATAGTCATTATTATATATTGAGAAAATGGTTATTAACAACAAAATGATCCGAAGTTTCAGCCCTAATAATTATACACGGCTATTTGTCGTGGTTGCAGGTGCCTATTGTTGCCTAATAAATACCAACCCTATATGACTGCATAACGTCGTATAATATAAACATTATTATAGCATTCCAAACAATTAGCAAACTTTTGTTTTATATAAACATTATTATAAACATAATTATAGCATGTATTTTTATTGTTATACTGTTCCATGTATGATTATATCATAGTTAGTTAAAGTTACTTTATAGTTACTTTATATCATTAGATTTTTGATTAAATAAATAATATAAACAGGAGTGAAGTAAAACACATCAGATTGGCCAACTTCTTAAAGGGCGTTAATTTTTCGGTATTTTTCGTAATACTACGGCTTATAGTCTACGCGTGTTTTCTAACATATATACTGATGGGTGGAATATTGTCGGCGGACAAAGCATTTGCCACTATAGCATACTTTAATGCCATGCGCTGGTCAGTGGCCAGAAAACTGCCACTCGCTATTGCAGTATCTTCTGAGCTTATAGTGGTCATCAAACGTATCCAGGTGATTATATCAATATTATAGATTTTAATACAGTGAACATTCCATATAGTGGTCGAGCAGTTGGTATACATTTTTGGACACTGTATAGAATGTTCACTCTATAGAATGTGTGTGTAATAGTAGTGACAATAAGTGTATATACTGTTAATATTAAAATAATCATTTATTTAGATTGTTTAATGTTTTCGAGGTTATAATTTCATATTAGCTTATCAATTTAAATAAAACTCATCATTTCAAATAATTTCAAGAAAATAAATAGTTGTCTCATGTCATAAAACACTATAAAGAGCGTAAAAATAGTCAAATATAGCCAAAAATGGCAACATTTTGGCCACTATATAGAATTAACACTGTATAGAGAGTCACTATATGGAGCGGAAATAACATTACAGGTATACAGTGTCCGCCAAACTAAAATATTTTGGACACTATATGGAAAATACACTGTATAGAGCTTTACTATATGGAATGTTCACTGTATTAATAATTGCTTTAAAATATTCAATTTTTAGGATTTTCTATTACTCGAAGAGATGAGTGGTTTGGATGAGAGGGAAGGGAAAGACAACGAGGCGTTCATTTCGGGGGAAAATGAGATAATTCTCGGAGTAATGGAAAACACTTCGAGTAATGAAGAAAAAGGCGTTTTTATGGACAAAATGAGCGTTCGTTGGAATAATGTATGAATTCTTTGATGTCTTTCAACACGTGTTTAGAGTTTTATGAATACATTAGGAGACGACTGAACCCACGCTTCGGGACATTAGTCTGAGTGTAAAACCCGGACAACTGTTGGCTGTCGTCGGATCCGTTGGCAGTGGAAAGGTATGTGTTTTTATACAGTATTTATGATTATTTATCTTGATTATCCTTATTTATCGTAATTATTTAATAACGTATATTTGATTCCGTTATTAATGCTACTAATATTTTAAATTATAATATAATTCTGAACTTCTGTTTTATGACATACTACCAATTAAGTGTGCTTTCATTATAACAATAATTCCAAATTGCCCGCTATAATATATCTTATAATTTTAAACCATAATTTATATTTAAAAATGTGGTTTATAAGATCGTTCTGCCCCCTCCCCTGCTCCCACTCTATGGGATTTAACATTTGATTACAGCTTAAATCTATAGCTATACTTTAATATGGGCTTTTTAAATTCATGGGGAATTAACACGGAATTACAGCTTATGTCTATGGCAATGCTAATCCTATAAATAATGTTAAGTCTACGGCATAGGGATAACATGCTTAATGCTAAGCCTATGAATACTGTTAAATCTATGAGCAATGTTAAGTCTATGGGTAATGTTAAGTATATGGGGTTAATGTTAATCTTATGGACAGTGCTACTCCTATGCATCACCCGAATTGTGGTTAACGTATAGCATTGCTGTATGAACCTTGTTTTTATTACTAACTTTTGTTATGACAACATAGAGCACACTATTGATGTCAATACTGAACGAGTTGTCTGTAGTGTCGGGTCGGGTGGCAGTCAGGGGTCGGGTGTCGTACGCGCCGCAGGAGTCGTGGGCTTTCATAGCGAGTGTTCGACAGAATATTCTGTTTGGCTCTCAATATAATGAAGAGAAATACAATCGAGTGGTGAAGGCGTGCGCTTTGGACACAGATTTCAAACTCATGC